CAAACCCAGGGCTTCTTGCATGCTAGGCAAGCACTCTACCGCTAAGCCACATTCCCCAGACCCTGTCCCTGAGTTTCTTTTGCTCAAGGCTAGCACTCTACCAGCCACAACACCACTTCTGGATTTTTCTGTGTATGTGGTACTGAGGAATCAAGCACAGGGCTTCATGCATGTTAGGCAAGCACTCTACCACTAAACCACTTTCCCAGCCCAAGGGCAGGACTCTACACAACCATCTCAGGTTAGTCTAATTGGTTTACTATTCAGATATGGGAACACTATGACAGTACCATGATTCACCATGGTACAGTTGTGATAAACTTCGATTCAGCTTTAAGACCTTAGACTCTATTGCCAAGTCCTCCACAAGGTAACTTGGGTAAACCAAAGAAATAGTGGCACCATGGGGCACAGTAGGTACACCTAGCCTACTCTAGGCATATCAGGGAACAATTCCAAAAGCCAATGAGGTCCAAGTTGAGACAATGGATAAATAATACAGGGTGTCTTCATTGGGTGAAGGGGGTATAGAGAATGGGGTCTGCTTTCCAGCCCAAGAGAATATCTCTGAACAAAAAGATGAGTGAGTGATTTTTGCAAAGAAAGCCAAAGTGAGAGGGAGACAGACTAGAGCGCTGGCACCAGATATTGTGCACTAAAGTGAAGCGTTAGCCATGTGGGCAATGGAGGACCATGGGAAAGCCAGGAAAGTGGTGGCCCCACCCCATTTCTCTATCCCTTCCCTTGGGCTCACTGTGGATGTGTCCAAGGGAAGCTAGGCGCCTCACACCACTGAGGAGGACTTGTTGAGCTGAACTGTTAGGTCTCAACTCCTAGAAGCTTAGTTCTAAAAAAGAATTTGAGAAATATAGAAAATCACAGGCAGGGGGCTGGGAAGGTGGCTCAGTGGTAGAGTGCTTGCTTTGCATGCGTGAGGTCCTGGGTTCGATTCCTCAGCACCACATAAGCAAAAAGAAAAAAAAAAGCCAGAAGTGGCGCTGTGGCTCAAGTGGTAGAGCGCTAGCCTTGAGCTGAAGAGCTGAGGGACAGTGCCCAGGCCCAGAGTTCAGGCCCCACGACCGGACCAAAAATAAAAAAGAAAGAAAAGAAAATCACAGGCATTGGTAGGGATGTGAAAAAATTAGAGCCCTGGTATTGGGAATGAAAAAAGAAAAGGAAAACAGTATAGCAGCTTATCAAAAGACAAAAGCACCATAGAGCAACCATAGGATCCATTGAGTCTACTTCTGGGGTATATGCCCACTCCCTAAAAATGAAAGCAGAGGCCCCAGGAGCTACAGTCATTGAAGCATTATTCAGAGTAGTTAAAAGATGGAAGCAGACTAAGTGTCAATCAGTGGATGAATGCATAAGAAAAAAGGTGTGCACACATACATCAGAACATTATTTCTGCTTTAAAAGGGAGGATATTTGGCATATAATGCAACATAGATAATAGCAATAACTTAATATCCTTGAGGACATTATGCTCAGCAAAACAAGTTAATCATGTGTGTGCAAGGTACCTAAAATCCTAGCTGCTCAGATAGCTACTGAAGCTAGGAAGAGCATGACTGGAGGCACACATGACTGGAGGTAAAAGTGAGAGACTCTACCTGACATATAAACTAAAGCAGAAAGAGCTGAGGGTGGGGTTTAAAATGGTAGAGTGCCCAGGGTGCCGGTGGCTCACGCCTGTAATCCTAGCTACTCAGGAGATTGAGATCTGAGGATCATGGTTCAAAATCAACCCCGGCAGAAAAGTCCGTGAAACTCTTATTTCCAATGAACCACTAGAAAACAGGAAGTGGTGCTGTGGCTCGAAGTACAGCATTCACCTTGAGCTGAAGAGCGCAGGGACAGTGCCCAAACCCAGAGTTCAAGCCCCACAACCGACAAAAAAAAAAAAAAGTAGAGTGCTTCCTAGTAAGTACAAGGCTCTGAATTTAAACCCAGTGCCAAAGAAGAAAGAAAGAAAGAAAGAGAGAGAGAGAAAGAAAGAAAGAAAGAAAGAAAGAAAGAAAGAAAGAAAGAAAGAAAGAAAGAAAGAAAGAAAGAAAGAAAGAAAGAAAGAAAGAAAGAAAGAAAGAAAGGAAGGAAGGAAGGAAGGAAGGAATGAAGGAAGGAAGGAAGGAAGGAAGGAAGAAAGAAAGAGAAAGAAAGAGGAGGGAGGGAGGGAGAGGAAGAGGAGGAGAAGCTAGTCACAAAAAATGACAGTATTGGGCTGGGAAGGTGGCTCAGTGGTAGAGTGCTTGCCTTGCATGCATGAGGCCCTGGGTTCAATTCCTCAGCACCACATAAGCAGAAAAAGCCAGAACTGGTGCTGTGGCTCAAGTGGTAGAGTGCTAGTCTTGAGCTGACAAGCTGAGGGACAGCACCCAGGCCCTGAGTTCAGGCTCCACAACCGACAAAAATAAAAAAAAATAAATAAATAAGATAACAATAATGCATGGCTCCACTAATTTGAGATAGAGTAATAAAAATCATAGAGGCAGAAAGTAAAATGGCAGTTTCCAGGAACTTATTATGTAATTGGCATAGAGTTTGTAAGAAATGTTGTAGCTGGTGGCTCCTACCTGTAATCCTAGCTACTTTGGAGGCTGAGATCTGAGGGTCACAGTTTGAAGCCAGCTTGAAGAGGAAATTCTTTGAAACTCTTATCTCCAGTTAATCACCAAAAAAGCCAAAAGTGTGACTGAAATGATGGGGCACCAGCTTTGAGGGGGGAAAAAATCAAGCAAGGCCCAGAGTTCAAGCTCCAGGATCAGCAGATGTGTACATATGCACATGCACACACACAAAGTTGTCGAGATAGTTTTGGGGCCAAGTGCTGTTGACTCACATCTGTAGGCCTAGCTGCTCAGGAGGTTGAGATATGAGGATCATAGTGCAAAGCCAGTTGGGGCAGAAAAGTCTCTGTGAGACTCATCTCCAGTTCGCCACTCAAAAACTGGAAGTGGCTCAAACTGGTAGAGCCCTAGCCTTGAGGAAGAGAGCTCAAGGCTAGTGCCCCCCCAAAAAAGGATAGTGCCCAGACCCCCACGACAAAAGTATAAATAAACGAATAAATAAATTAAATAAAAACGGTATTGAGAATTGTACAACACAATGCATACACTTTAACAATACAAAAGGACAATCAAAATTAGTTACAATGGCACATTTTATGCTTACATTTTGCAACAACATTTTTGAGAAAAAAGTCACCAAAGAAGACACCTGCAATTGCAGTCATCATATTCAATGTACATTATAGAAAAAATGAAAAAAAGATATATTTAGAATCCCAACTACCCCAAAATATAATCCCCTGACATGGAGTACTTACAGAAATTGAGGATAGCCTGTCCTTTTCTCAAGGAAAAAAAAAGAAAAAAAAAATCGAAGGAGGGTATGTATGGTAAACTTGGGGAACAGGAATTCCAGAAGTGCTTTCCAAGGATTTGTTTTCTCCTTGGACCTCTGACTCCCCTCTAGGGGACCTCTAGGATCTGCCAAGCTTGGGGTACAGAAGGCTGGGGGTGGGGGACGACTCAGGTCTCCCATCCCTCAGAAGTGGAAGGGTTTCTATTCATTCTCTCGGTGGATTCTGCGCCCCGTTATCCCACAGCGCGGTGGCAGTCCATGGGGCCCGAGGCAGACTGAGACTAGAAGAAAGAGGGCGCTGGGGGAGAGGAGAGACTGAAGAAGGGGAAAGGGGGCGCTGGGTTACTTGTGAGCCAGAGGTCACAGCCTGCTGCGGGTGGGGAGGAGGATGGAGCAGAGGAACCCGGAGGTGAGGCGGGCTGGGCTGCGGGGGGGGGGGGGGGGGTGCTCGTGTGGCCCTTGGGACCAGTGTGACCAGAGACCTCGGCCCTGCGACCCCCAGCCCCAGCCCCCCCGATCCCGCGGACCCCCAGCTTCTCCGCAGCAGGGCGATGCCGGGGCCGCTGGCAGGTCTCCTCCAGTCTGTCCCTGGCCTGGCGGCTCTGGGGCCGACCCTCTGTGTGTGTCCCTGTGTGTGCTGAGCACCGTCCTCGTCTGGTCCCAGCCCTCTCCCGCCGCTCTCCATCACGGTCCTCACGGCCGTCCATGTCTCCTCCGCATCCCTGCTGCACGCCGGTCTTAGTCCGCCCTTCTGTCTTCTCATCCTCGCCTCCTGACCCCGCCTCGTCCCCATCTCCACCCCAAGGCTTCATCCTTGTCTCCATCCGTACGCCCGTGCGCCCCCGTCCCGGTCTCCACCACCGCTTCGGGCCGGCCTCTGCCCCTCTCCGTCCCGGTCTCCCCTCTGTACCCACGTCGCCCCCACCCCGTCCAGGTCCCAAGCTCCGTCCCTTCTTCGTCTGGGTCTCCATCCCCTCCCCCTCTCCCCCTCGCCCCCCTTTCCCCCACCCCCCGCCCAGGGCAGCCTCCGCCGGGACTGGACCTCGCTGGGGGCGGGGAGGAGGAGCCGGATCGGAATAACTCGGTTAACCGGGAGAATTGAATTAACTTCTTCACACCAGCGCCCCGGGGCCTGCCTGGCTCGCTCGTGCGGGGCCGCAGGTGGGGAGGCCCGGGAAGGAGGTCGGGACCCTTCGGCTCGGCTCGACATGTAGACACCGAAGGTCTGGGCTGGATTGGGACGGGATGGGGGACGGGGAACGGGGCCCCGCGCAGCCCCGCCCTGCACCCCGGGAGGGAGCTCGGAGCGAGGGCGGCTGGGACCCTGTGGGGCTGAGTGGGGGTCGGGGAGGCTGGGGGCGGGGCCTGGGCCGTCCAGGCCCCGCCCCGCGGAGCTCGCCCCGCCCCCTCCGCGGGGTCCTGCGCGTTAAAAGGCGCGCGGGCTGGCGGGGCTGCACTTGCGTTGCACCCGGGCAGAGTGTGGCCGCGACGGGGCGGGCGGACTGTCGGGCGCGCAGAGCCGGGGTCAGGTCCTTCGCGCCTGGAGCTCCAACCTCCATCCCGACCTCTTACCAGGCCCAGGACCCCGACCCTGACCCGGCCTGGCCCCCGCTCCTGCCCCCCCTCCCGGGCCGATGGACTACTCCTACCTCAATTCGTACGACTCGTGCGTGGCGGCCATGGAGGCGTCCGCCTACGGCGACTTCGGCGCCTGCAGCCAGCCCGGTGGCTTCCAGTACAGCCCCTTGAGGCCTGCCTTCCCCGCCGCGGGGCCGCCGTGTCCCGCGCTCGGCTCCTCCAACTGCGCGCTCGGCGCCCTACGCGACCACCAGCCCGCGCCCTACTCCGCAGGTGAGCGCAGTCCGGACCTCCCTCCCTCCCAATCCTGCGGAATCCCCAATCCCTGCTCTACTCTTGTAAAGGAATACGACGGGACCCACAGCCACCCCATCCCTGCCCTGGTCGGTCCTTCCAATGCCACCCCCACCCCACCCCCCAGACCTCCAGAAATTCAGGGTTCCTCTCCTCAGGGGTAAGCCGCACCCTTCACATCCTTCCTGTTCTGCTTCCTCCCGTCCAAATCTCAACCCCGTGCCCTTCGGGTCAAGGAAACATCCCCTGGCCATCCTCAGGCCCTTCAAGAGGCCTTCCATTCTAGGCCTGCAGAGTGACCACCAAACCTCTCCATCCCCTGTATCCTTGGATGGAGGCCTCCAGCTCAGTCAGTCAGATCCACATCCGTGTCACTCCTGCCCTACAGGATGCATGGTCCCCACAAAGGACCCCTGACCAAATGGGCACTTTCCTAGAACCCTAACACCTGCAAGCCCTTCCTGCCCTGTCTTGGGGACTGGTCCCACCTAGGCCCAAACCCTTGTGCATCACCAAAACCAGTCCCATAGTCTCAGAAAAGGGGCCCAAGTAATTAAGCCATTTTCGTTCTCCCCCTACTTTCCCTCTTCAGACTCTCCCAGCTAAAACCCTGAACCCCTGCACCCCTAAATCCTTTTATCCAAGAGGTCTGCTGTGGGAAACGTCAACCTCACTGGGTCTCTCAGCCACTTCTACCCCTTCAATTAGAGTATCAGCGTGCCCCACCCAATCCCTTTTCCTACTAGAGAACCACGGGGGAAGGTGCAAATCGAAAACTGGGGACTGGTGGTGGTGGGGATAAGTACCACAATTTGGGTAAATAGGAACCAAAGAGATGTGACCAAAGAGTAAAACAGGGATGGGAAGACTGGCTACTCTGGACCAGATGAGGGTGGGGATTGAGGAGACAAACAGGAAACAGGAAGATAAATTCCTAAAAGATGGGGCTCTGAGATTATGGGGATACGGGAAGAAGGTTGTAGAAATGAGAGGAAAAATGGGAAGATTGGCGATCCTGACAAAAGTGGGAACATGGGGTTGAGAGGTGATGGAGAGAAGAACCAGAAGATACAGGAATTTTGAGACAGTGACCCCAAAAGATTGGAAACAGTGATCAAGGAGCTGGAAACAGGAATAGGGTATTGGAAGCAAAGGTCGGAAGAAATGGAGTCCTACAGAGTGGGGCAAAGATGGAGACTGGGGACCCCCAGGAAAATTTGAAGCCTTCAACCAGGGCCAGAGACAGGGATGCTGAGACTGGTTGAGGTGCTGTCTATGGGGCAGTGGAGGTTGAGACGGAGAGGGAGTGGTTGGGGTAAAATAGTATTAGAGGAGATGGGAGCACAGAAGATTCTGAGAGGTGGTGAGGTAAGAGAAGAAGACAAAACAAAAACAAAAACCCAGATGGAGGGTCTCAAGTGGGTGAAAGAGGAACCAACCCTCTTCAATGAGCAAGCACAAAGAGAAGACTGGCCCAGAATGGGGAAAGTTGAAGAGAAATTCAGGTGAAGGAAGATGAAGATGAGAAGGGGGAGATACCAGGAAGGGGATGGGGACCAGGGATATGAGGCAGGGCTGGGGAAATAAGGCCTGGTGATATAAATACACCGGCAGTGGGGGGAGGGACTGGATCTGTACATAGCAGAGAGCCTGTGGCAGGGACTGAAGTCGACTTGACAGGAGCGTTTCAATGGCAAAACCAAAGCTTAAGACTGGCTAGTGGTGTACTACTGACGCTGATGCTAAAGACACCTGACACTTAAGGCTAGTGTGGATAGAATAGTGTGGTCAGTCTAGGAGCCAGGCTGAGATACACTGACAGTTTGTGGTATGAGGATAGGGGCAGAATGACAGGGATTTGGGAGGTGGAGGAAATCGAGTGAAGGACCAAAGATAGATCCTTAGCTGGACGATCAGATCCTGGTCTACAGGTTTCTGATGGCTCTTGAGCCCCAGGTCAGTCTTTATACCCTTGCTGACTCAGTCGGCCAATAGGAACCCTTGGAATGGGGGCTATGTGGGACCAAACCGTGGGAGAGAAGGGGTGCGCCATTCTCTCTAAAGGTAAAACGTGGAGGGCTGAGCTCAGCATCTCACTTCTGCCGCCCATCTTCGTTGCCTCCACCCTCCCGCACACGCCCGCCCCGCAGTGCCCTACAAGTTCTTTCCGGAGCCGTCGGGCCTGCACGAGAAGCGCAAGCAGCGGCGCATCCGCACCACGTTCACGAGCGCGCAGCTCAAGGAGCTGGAGCGCGTCTTCGCTGAGACCCATTACCCGGACATTTACACGCGCGAGGAACTGGCGCTCAAGATCGACCTCACCGAGGCTCGTGTGCAGGTGCGGGTGTGCTCATGTGTGCATGCGCCCGCGTGGAGGGGGCTGCGGGAGGTTAGACACCTGAGGGCCAGGGACAGCTGCAGCTTGGACGCGAGAATCTGCGGGGGGGGGGGGGGGGGGGAAGGGAGCAATGACGAGGACGCCATGGGTGGTTGGAAAGCCAGGGGAGGCCACGGGGCCAGAACCTGGATACCCTGTCTCCACAATGCTATTTGAGAAGCTAAGACTGAGGAGGCCGAATGAGTAGGGGACTGGGGTCAGGCAGGTCCACACGTCTAGGTGTTCCTTCCCAGCGCTACAGCTCTGATTCACCCTTAAGCCAGGAAAGCCAAAGCCTGAGGCCAGGGCAGGGCCAGGGAGCCAGGGCGGACAAATCCCGGGTGCAGACAAATTCACCTGGCTGATTGTAACCGAAAGCCCTGGACAAAAAGGGTTCCCTAGCACCCCAGCAAGCGCTTCAAAGGCCTGGGACGATTCCAGCGCAAGGCCCCGTTTCCTAAAAAGGAATTGAGGGGCAAGGCTGAGGAATTCTGAGAACCAGACCAGAGTAAAGGCAGAAAGCACCCCTGGCGACTCAGGGCACTGGGGCAGCGGGGCGAGGTCCGGGAATGAACTAATCCTAAAGGCAAAGATCCCCAGGACCTGGAGGACGAGGGTGAATGGAGGAGAGGATGGAGAGGGAAACTGGCCGAAGGGCAGAGCGCTGTGAACCTCTGGGACCCGTAATGGTCCCCCGCCCGACCCCGCCCCGCCCGCAGGTTTCTGAGGGACCCAGGTCTCTGCACCTGCGTCTGGAGGCCCAGGCTGGCCTTGAGCACTCTCTGACCCTAGCGCCCGGCTCACTGGCTGCTGTGCCCACAGGTCTGGTTCCAGAACCGCCGGGCCAAGTTCCGCAAACAGGAGCGCGCGGCCAGCGCCAAGGGCGCGGCGGGCGCCAAAAAGGGCGAGGCGCGCTGCTCGTCCGAGGACGACGACTCCAAGGAGTCCACGTGCAGCCCCACGCCCGACAGCACCGCGTCGCTGCCGCCGCCGCCCGCGCCCAGCCTGGCCAGCCCGCGGCTGAGCCCCAGCCCGCTGCCCGCCGCGCTCGGCTCCGGGCCCGGGCCGGGGCCCCAGCCGCTCAAAGGCGCTTTGTGGGCCGGTGTGGCGGGCGGCGGGGGCGGCGGGCCCGGCGCGGGAGCAGCCGAGTTACTTAAGGCCTGGCAGCCGGCGGAGCCCGGGCCCGGGCCCTTCTCCGGAGTTCTGTCCTCCTTCCACCGGAAACCCGGCCCCGCGCTGAAGACCAATCTCTTCTAGCTGTGGGCCTGTTCCCCCCACCTCCAGACACCCCGTGTCCCTGCAGGACCTGACAGGGCCCCTCCCCTTCCAGGCGCCCGCCTGGAAGCAGCCCGACCGTCCCCGCTCCCCAGTGTCTCACCCCTAAGTGTGCCATCCCCAGCGTGGAATCAAGTCAGGTCCTCAGCACCCAGACGGGCAGAACTCTTTTCACCGGGATCCCCCCTCCTGAAGAGCCGGGAGCCCCCTGTAGCTTGGCTTTCTTTGGAACCAGGACCAATTAATGTCTGTCCCTAACACCGGGCCCACCGGAGGGGCCCCGTGATTCTGCAGAGAGCTGGGGTCTCCCCGCCAACCTCCACGACGAACACAAGCACCCACGCAGCTCAGGCCCGCTCAGGCCCACCCGGGCAGCCGCCCTCCGGAAGGGTCCGCCGCCCCCGGCGGTCCCGCGGAGGGGGACTCCCTAGCGAGGGGAAGGGGGGGCGGCCCGGGGACGACGGGACAGAGGGGTTTCCTCTTCCCTGATTTTTTTTTTTTTTTGTGGTTGTTCTTTTTCTTTGGGAACAAAAAAGAAAACTTGTAATTTATTCAGGTGATTTTGCTCAATTCAAATAAAACTTAATTTATTGAAGACATCAACCCTTCCAAGTGCCAGGCTGGGGACAGACTGCAAGAAACGGGTCTCCCCTCCTCCCCTCCCCCGTCGCGACCACCAGGAGGACATTTCTTGTCTACAGCCGCCACTCGTTCCCAGCACTGGGCGGTATGGACCGGGAGACAGAACTAAGCAAACTGGCAATACATAGCCCACGTCCTGCGATCCTCCCCCCCCCCCCACCGCCCCAGTGACCCCAATAATATTAAGGTACCCTCCCTCCCCAAACCCACACAGAAAACAAAACAAAACTTATTAAATAAACCCCAGCCCGGTCCTCGGGCTCTTCCTTCATTTCCGGACGGTTGCCCCTCGGAGGAGGAGGAAAGTGACTCTTCCTCTGTGGTTCATGGGGGTAGAGGGGCAGAAATGGCCGTGGAGGTGGTGGTGGCCCAGGTGCTCCACAGGGAGGGGTCTGCACCAAAGCAACCCCCTAAGCGACTGGGAACCGCTGCAGGCTACTGCCATCAGCAGCGCGGAGGGGAGAGGCAGGAAGTACTGATTAAGGCATCCCAAATGATTGGGCAGTGGGGAACGCAGATCCCCCAATAAATAAGTAGAGAGGCACTGCCCCGCCCCTCAAAACTTTTCAAGCTCCGGCTGTGTGGGACCTTCAAAGAAAGGCACTAACTGATCCAAGCTCCCCAGAGCCTCCGCTATCACTTGCTGAGCTGCAGGGTGTCCAGAAGAAGGCGCTTGTGAGCTGGGTCCTGCACCCCAGCCTCCTCCAGGTCCTCCTCCGTGATGTCACTGGGAATGAGAGGCTGGGAGATGAGCCGGAGGGTGGTGAAAGGGCCCCTAGCTCCACCCTAAGGTCGAAGACCCGCCCCGCCTACCTCCAGCCCCGCCCCCACCTGAGAAACTCCAGGTCGTCCCAGCCGTTGTGTACCAGGCCCTCCTCATAGCGCTCCAAGCCGATGGCCCGCAGCCAGGCACCCATGCCCGCCTCGCCAAGCCCGCTGGCCCGCCCGCCCTGCGGGCAAGGAGCCTGAGGATATAGGGCATGTTAGGGGAGCACTGAGGGTAGAAACAAATACCTGCAGAGCAGCCACATTTAGCACAGCCCTGGGGAGAAAGGGGGCAAGGGCTGCTCCATGTGTCCCAGTCAAGCCACCAGGGTCAAAGTCAGGGCATGCTCAGTGAAAGAGTCCCACCGTGTGTGGTAATCCTCCCACCCCCGCCAGGTACAGCCAGCCCTGGTCCACACACCTCCTCTGCCAGGTCTTCCTGGATGCTCTCTCGAATGCGAGGTGGAGGAAAGCTCAGGGGCCGGCCATAGTCTGAGGGTAGTCCTCGGGGCGGCTGCAACTCAAGGGGGCTGGGGAGGAGTGCTGAGCGTCCAGGCCCCGCAGGAGCATAATCCACCTCACTGAGTGTCTTGGCCATCTGTAGTACTGAGCAGGACCGGTCATCCCCACTTGCTATCTCTCCCAGGAAGGTGCTGGCAGGTGAGGGGCCTGGGGGCAGTGGAGGCCTTGGATGGGCCTTGGGTGGTGGGCCACGGGCCTCACCCCCACTGCGGCCCCGGACCACTGGCATTGACAAAGGATCCAGACTGGGAGGCAGGAAGATGGCTGAGTCCGGCAGTGGTGGGGGTGGGAAATCTGGAGGAGGCAGTGTACCTCCAGAGTCCTCATCTGATGAGCTCCCCTCTCCCACGCGAGGGGGCCGGTTGCGTCCAAGCTGTGGAGCAGGCACTGTTATGGCCACTTTGTTCTTGGTGGCAGGTGGGACAGGGGCCCTGGCAGGTGAAGGTAGCTCCAGGGGCAGCAGCTGGTGCGGGACCCCTTCAAGGACGTAGTAAGCAGGGTTATTGAAGCTGTTCTTGGGTGGGAGGGCTGATACCCCTTCTGGCTCAGTAGCCCCTTCTGGCTTCAACCTGGGTTTGAGAGTAGAATAACTAAACCAGGTCCCAGAAACCCAAGGTGGAGGCAATGGATGCAGAGGAAGGAAAGGAAGAAGAGTCAGAAGACAGACTTGCATGTGCCTTTGAATGCATCACTTGCCTTCCCCTGCCCTTAAATTCATCTCGCTGAGGTACTGAAGACAGAACCCAAATTCTCTGTCCTGCTCAGATTCTTACATCTTTATGACTCTAACTGAAATATGAGGTTCCAGAAGGCAGGAAGATGAGAGTGAACAGAGATCTGGATAGCCTCCACCAGCATACAAGACTGGTCTACTCTGGCATCTTACTCAGAGGCTCAGGGTAGTTTTTTTACCAAGCTGGCTGAGAAAAACTGAAGATGAGTGGAAAAGCACCAAACTATACCTAAACACATTTCCCTTAGTTCAAACAACTAGATAGCATTACAAAGCAAGCTGGCCTTCCCAAAGATTGAGCCACAAAACACTAGGTTCCTAAGAACATTGGTTATTATGTAGGAAAGAAGTCTCCCTGGCCCATTATATTTGGGAAATGATTCCAAACAGTTTGAAAAGAGATCTCTTTCTTGTCCATATGCTTGGAGCCTTTGCTAATACTATCATGTACTGAGAGTTAACTTAAGAAAACAATCTAGAGGCTGGGAATGTGGCTCAGTGGTAGAGTGCTTGCCTAGCATGCATGAAGCCCTGGGTTCGATTCCTCGGTACCACATAAACAGCAAAGACTGGAACTGATACTGTGGCTCAAGTGGTAGAGTGCTAGCTTTGAGCAAAGCAGCTTAGGGGGGCTGGGAAGGTGGCTCAGTGGTAGACCACTTGCCTTGCATGCCTGAGGCCCTGGGTTCAATTCCTCAGCACCACATAAGCAAAAAGAAAAAAGACGGAAGTGGCGCTGTGGCTCAAGTGGTAGAGCGCTAGCCTTGAGCTGAAGAGCTGAGGGACAGCGCCCAGGCACAGAGTTCAGGCCCCACAACTGGACCCCCCCCAGAAAAAAAATAAAGAAAAAAAAAGCAGCTCAGGGACAGTACAGTGTCCAAGCACTCAAGCCCCAGGACTGGCAAAAGAAGAGAGGTGGGGGGAGGAGAAGAGGGAGATGAGAGAGAGGAGAAAAAAAAGAGGGAGAAAAAGATCTAGCAAGAAGCATGGTCCAAACCCCTCTGATCACACACTCTTTTCTAGTGGGCTCTCTTGAAGAACAGTGCCCCACAGTATGCTCCTGGGAAATCCTGTGCTAGGCTTGAGCCTTCTCCAAAACACAGGGCTCAAACTGGTCTGCTTACATGGAGGCAGCTGTTCTAGAACCAATTTCTTTCTTTTTTTTTTTTTTTGCTGGTCATGGGGCCTGAACTCTGGGCCTGGGCACTGTCCCTCAGCTCTTCAGCTCAAGGCTAGCACTCTACCACTTTGAGCCACAGCGCCACTTCCAGCTTTTTCTGCTTGTGTGGTGCTGAGGAATCAAACTCAGGGCCTCATGCATGCAAGACAAGCACTCTACCACTGAGCTTCTTTCCCAGCCCCTAGAACCAATTTCTTTGAGGGAGTCTCATGCTCACTTCAGCAGCACGTATACCAAAATTGGAAGGAGACAAGACTCTTGATATGTAGCTCAGGCTGGCCTTGAACTTGTAATCCTCCTGCTTCAGCCTTTCAAATACAGGGGTGATAGTTATGTACCACCACACCCAACTTTAGAGCCATTTTCTACCTGCATTTTTTTCAGGCAAAATTGAGAGGAAAGGCTGAGTATGCTCCCTCTGACTCAAGAGCCACACCTAAGGAAGTCTGGACTGGCCATAATCACCACAGGATAACACAGCACCCAAACAGACAAATCCCCAGGCTGGCCCTGAAGGCCACACCTAGTGATGGGAGTGAGCAGGGGGGTGACAGGCTCATCCTCTCACCTAGGATTCAAGGGCTCCTCCCGGGGACCTGCTCGGGGTGGGGCTGGAGGCCTCCCAGTTGGTGGTGGTTTCTCTGGCTCTTCAAACAACTTGGACAGTGGGCAGGAAGCATCTGTGGAGGCTGGCTTTCGACTCCCTGATCTGTCATTGGTGCACAGGAGAGGGGAAAATGGAGTTGGCAAGGGGCACCCCGTTACCCCTCATGTGACCACACACCCAAAGACTGCAGTAGCTCACCTGGAATCCTGACTGCTTCGGGACACAGAGGGAGCCTTGTTCTTGGTCCCTGCCTCATCCTTATCAATGCTGATCCACTCTGGGGAGGGCAAGGAAGGAACGGTGAAGAGAGGACCTAAGGATAGACAGCCTCTAGGCCTGCCCACCCTTTTCCAGCTATTCCTCAGGGAAAATCGAAACAGTCATAGCTGTAGAACCTCCAGCGTCCCAGGATTCCACCTAGGATCCCTCTCTCTTTCACCCGTCCTCACCAACCCCATCCAGTGTCCCAAACCCTTCCCGATGAAGCCCCTACCATAGAGCCGCTCACGGGTGCCCAGGCGTTCTGTGGGCACCCGCACTTTCATGGAGCCCCGGATGTTGCCAGTCTCCTCGCCGCGGTGTGACAGGAAGGTCAGGAACTGCTGTGCTGTACTGCCAATCATGGATTTGAGTGCAACCACACACTCCCCTACGGGACAGATAGGACAGACCAGCAGATAGTCAAGCCTTGCTGGGACCCTGCCTAGTTTTTTGTACCCCTCAGCACCTCTCATCCCTTACCATAGGATTCATAGCCGTCCATAGACTTGACCGTGAGCAGGAGATGCTGGTCCTGCAGGTATTCGATGTCAGCCAGAATTGGCTTGAGCTGGAGAGCAGAGAGGCACAGTGAAGACCAAAGCTCCAACCACCCCCTTGGGCCCTCTCACATGCTGCTCCAGCCCTCAGGCTTGTCACCTTCACTCTTAGGCAAAGTCCCCAAACCCTTATTGTAAAAGACACAGTCCAACAAGGTCTTTAATCCCAAGAACTGTTTTTTGTTTTTGTTTTATTTTTTTCTTCTGTTGATCATGGGGCTTGAATGGGCCTGGGCACTGTCCTTCAGCTCTTCAGCTCAAGCATAGTGCTCTACCACTTGAGCCACAGCTCCACTTCTCCAATAAAGTCTTTATAACCCTGGAATTAATTATCTGGGTCCTCAATGACAGTACAGGACCTGACATTTAGCAAAGACTTTAGAAGTATTTATTGAATAAATGCATGAACAATTGGGCTCCGTACTCCCTTATAAACACAGCAAATGTCCTTATTCCGGTTCAAGTGCATGGGTGTGAGCATGCAGGCCTGTGTGCACACTCTCCAGAACCCACCCTCCCTCCCAGGCAGCCCTGTCCCTCCCCATGGGACCCTTCACCCACCAGCCTTGGCCCTGCCCGCAGCCTCACCGTGGGCAGCTGGCGCGAGGACCACTGCACTTTGAGGAAGTTGATGTTATCACTGCTCTGGGCATCATTCTCAAAGCTCTTCTTGTACTCTGAAGTGGGGGTGAGGAACACACAACAGAGACTCATCTCCCAGCTTCCCCTCTCTCTACATTAAGGGCTGACTGTTCTGGGCAGCCTCTAGCCTCCCGCCCAGCTTGGCCCACAGCCAGCCCGGGGCCCCCTCTGACCCTCCAAGCAGGTGGAGTAGAACTCAATGAAGAACTTGGTACGGCTGGCTGTCTTCACGATGGCCTCAATGCTCTCAAACTCGATGTAGGCCTGGTCCGAAGTCTTTGAGAGCCCTGAGGAGCAAGAGAAGAATTACAGGCAGAAGGGCTGAGAGCGCCTGAGTGGATCCCAGAGGAATGAGACAGAGGCTGAGCCTGGGACAGTAAATCAGGAGTCCTGGCAGAGCAGAAGACAAAGCCAAAAGGAACTTCCAGATCCTAAGCCACCAATAAGAGATGCCCAAAGCCCAGATCCTGGACTAGGGCAGAAAGACAACTCAAGAATAAAAGATTCAGGGGCTGGGAAGGTGGCTCAATGGTAGAGTGCTTGCCTTGCATGCATGAGGCCCTGGGTTCGATTCCTCAGCACCACATAAGAAAAAAGAAAAAAGCCAGAAGTGGCACTGTGGCTCAAGTGGTAGAGCGCTAGCCTTGAGCTGAAGAGCTGAGGGACAGCGCCCAGGCCCAGAGTTCAGGCCCCACGACCAGACCCCCCCCAAAAAAAGATCCATATCAGGAGCATCTGGGGACCCTGTAGAATGCCTGCAGCCTTGCCTGTCAATAGTACAGCACACTTCCAGGCACACTTGGAGACACAGATAGGTTATACATGCATATATGCAACCAGTCATGGGTTCATGCGTGACTCAGACGTACAGACATCCTTTGTATGTATGCTATATGCCGTATCTATGACCACATCTAAAATAATCACCTTTCTTGGAGATAAACTGTGAAGTAACTCCAACCTCAAATGTTCCAAACACAGGGGAATGGTCGCTGGTGACAATGTCATCAGTACAACCTGTGCAGGGGGATAGAAATGGGGATCCAGGTGAACTGTCTCTCCCCTTCTCCCCCTCTCAAAGGAAGGCAGAGACAAGAGAGTGACACCAGGCATCTTCTAGCACCCTGTCTGGGATGCTCTCACCATAGGAATTGCATATGATGTGGGTTTCAGGGTAGGACTTCCACAGAATCCGGTCACACCATGAGGGCACATTGGTCCGCACCTGAGGCAAGAAAGGGCAGCCTGGTCATGGTTGACAGCTGGGAGTTTCTCAGCAGGGGCCTTACCCAACAGCTGATGCCTTAGGCCTCAGCACCCATCTGTCTTCTTGGATCTCCACAATACCCAGAGTCACCCAGGGGTCCTGAGAGAAGCCACATAAGGGGGAGTGGCAACCATAGAGGCCTACACCACAACCTCCTGACCCTATACTCTGACCCACTGCAGGCCTGGAGCTCCCTTGGTCCTCCGTATTTTCTCCACTTACCCCAGTAGGTTTCTGCTTATGCCAGGCATATGTGTCCCGAGAACCCCGCTCATAGCGATAGGTAGGTGGGAAGGAAATCTCCTCCTCACCTAAGGAGAGCAGAGGACATATGGGATTCAGTGTCCCCCAAGCCCAAAAATACCCCAGGCCCTCTGGAGCCACCTGGTAGGCCCCCACTCACTGAATCGAAGGAAGACCTTGTGCTTCTCTCGTTCCAAGTTGAGTTGGTCCACCCTGAGCAGGGGCTCAAACTCCTTCCTACTGATGTAGTTCAGGATCTCCTGGAGTATAGGATGCACAGTCCGAAGACTTGTCTCCTAAGCTGAGCCAGAGTGAGAGCCCTCTGGACCCCATCTTTCCTACAACCACCCATCCACAGGGCCCTGCTCACACCTGGATGTCCATGTCTAAGCGGTAGTTGAGGTCCCCAAACCAGAAGAGGTGAGTGAAACGCAGAGAAATGTCAAAGGCACTGAGCTGCCGGTCGCCCAATGAGAGCAGACGAAGGATGTCCAGGTAGTTCTGGTTCCGCCTAGGATAGGTAGAGGGCTAGGTCCCCATGCTCAAGCATAAAGATAAGAAGTCAAAGGGGTAGGGACTATAAGACAGAGACAGAGGAAGGAGCTGGAGACAAGATCAAGGTCGGGAACAGACGAGGAGTAAGGAAGGAGGAGTGGGTCTCCTGTAATGGATATAGGTCAAGGATAGGGCTATGGGAGAGGGAACTGGTCCCAGGTAATGAGGGCTGGGATTAAGAAAGCAGGAAGGTGCCTCTCACCGGGCAGTCTTCTCATTTCCTGAGGTGAGATGGCAATTCACAAAGCCAAACGAGGTGCCATTGAACATGAATGAGACACCCACAGCTCCCTTGTTCCCTGTCAGAGCAAGCGAAGGAAGAAATCCCGGGTCATACAAAGGGCTCCCAACTCCCCCCTGCTACCCCTCAAAACAACAGTGACAGGGCTCTCTCCCTAGTCCAGAACACTTGGAGGCAGGCAGGCCCCTAGAAACACCCATTCCTCCCTGAGGGTCCTCCTGGCACTATTCACTGGCTGTGTGAATGTAGGCTAGTCATTCAACCATCCTGGGCTTGAGTTTTATCATCTATCAAAAGGAAAAATTGGGGGGGGGGGGGGGGATGGGAAAGGATGGGAAGGGGAAACAAAGGAGGAGGCTACAATGTTTGATAAGAAATGTACTCATTGGGAGCCGGGCGCTGGTGGCTCACGCCTGTAATCCTAGCTACTCAGGAGGCTGAGATCTGAGGATCGTGGTTCAAAGCCAGCCCGGGCAGGAGAGACCGTGAGACTCCTATCTCCAATAAACCACCACAAAACCGGAAGTGGCGCCGTAGCTCAAGTGGTAGAGCGCTCGCCTTGAGCTGAGGGACAGCGCCCAGGCCCAGAGTTCAAGCCCCACGGCCGACCAAAAAAAAAGAAATGTACTCATTGGGGCTGAGAAGGTGGCTCAGTGGTAGAGTGCTTGCCTTGCATGCATGAGGCCCTGGGTTCGATTCCTCAGCACCACATAAGCAGAAAAAAAAAAAAGCCGGAAGTGGTGCTATGGCTCAAGTGGTAGCGTGCTAGCCTTGAGCTGAAGAACTGAGGGACAGCGCCCAGACGGCAGAGTTCAGGACCCACGACCGGACCCACACACACAAAAAAGAAATGTACTCATTATCTTGTCCATGTAATTATAACCCCTCTGTACAGTATTTTCACAATAAAAAAATAAAAATAAGTAAAAAAAGAAATAACTCTAAATAGAAATCAAATCAACTGTCCCCCCCCCCCAAAAAAAAGGAATAATTGGTGGGCACCAGTAGCTCATGTCTGTTATCCTAGCTACTCAGGAGGCTAAGACCTTAGGATCACAGTTCAAAGCCAGTGCAGGTGGGAAAGTTCATGAGAATTTTATCTCCAATTAACCACCAAAAGACCGAAAGTAGAACTGTGGCCTTGAGCAAAAAAGTTCAAAGACAACTCCCAGACCCTGAATTCAAGACCCAGGACCAGCGTGCATGTACAGGCACATGCACACACAGGAGATAACTGCTTTTGGCCTTCTTGATGGGGCTCAAAAAAATTTAGAACAAGAATATTTATTAAGTTCAAAGTACCCTATGTATAGGAAAGCCGAGACCACTAACTAGGAAGACCTTGGGCTAGAGAGAAAACCGAAGGCAGGGGTGGAGGAAGCCCACCTGCCCCACTCACCTAGGGTGTTGGCAATGCCAGTCTTCACGCTAGACGTACTGACATGGCTGATGCGGTTCTCATGCTCTGGCTTCACCAGCACAGCCACCTTGATGTTCCATAACGACTGCATGGCAATCTGCATACAGGATCAGAGGTCACCTCCTTTGCTCTGGGCTAAGACCCCCTTCTGCATTCCCCTGCCCCTTCTCCTGAGGGACTAGCGAGGATCAGGTCTCTGGTGGAATAAAAGGCTCACCAAGGACTCAAGTTAGATGTCCCAACGGAAATATCAGAGGCCACAGGGAAAGCCGTTAAAAGTCAGACAGGGAAGTCTGGGATTTTGTTTGTTTGTTTGTGAGAACAAGGGACGGGGTGAGATGGCCCCTCACCGGGCGGTAATCCAGATCCGTAAGATCCTTGAGGCCCCCTCGAAGCAGGTCTAGCCACTCTCGGTCACCCACTGAGTTCTCCTGGGTCCCAAAGACATAGATGTCGTGGGGGATGGTCACTGTGACTTCGTCCAGGGCCTTCCCGAGACCCTTCGATGTGAACCAAGACGTCACGTTTTTGGGAGGCGGCACACTTCCTGGAGTAAGGATGAAGGAAGGGTGGGAAGGTCAGACCCCTACCCAGGAGACATCACCCACCACACCCTAGCCCCAGCTTAGGCCTGACCCATGTTCCAGGTGCCTATGAAGACAGAGATCATGTCAGGCTCGTCCTGTTTTGAGTGTTTGTTCTTCATGAGCTGCAGCAGCTGGCAGAAGGCCTCCCGTTTCTGTGGAAACAGCAGCCAGTCAAAGGCAGGTGGGCAACAAGGAACACCCCCTTCCACAGGGACACCCCACGGGGGGGGGGGGGAGAGGGAGGTTCTCCCACTCTACACTACTACTTAAGAATATTACACAAGCTGGGTGCTGGTAGCTCACGCTAGCTACCAGTTAATCCTAGCTACTCAGGAGTCTGAGTTCTGAGGATCATGGTTCAAAGCCAGCCTTGGCAGGAAAGCCCATAAGACTCTTATCTCCAATTAACCACCAGAAAACCAAAAGTGGCACTGTGACTCAAAGTGATAGAACACTAGCCTTGAGCTGAAGAGCTCAGAGAGCACCCAGAGCTCAAGCCCCAGGACTGCCACCAAAAAAAAACCACAAGTTCAGTAAGTGTTCACTGAATGGGGATTTGAATACACCTTCAGGTCACCCTCTCTATTTGGTAGAACTGGAGTTTGTTTGTCCATTGTAATACTGTGGCTTGAATTCAAAGCCTCGAGATCTCACTTGGCATTTTCCACTTACACCTGGTGCTCTCCCACTTGAGCCATGCCCCCAGTTCCAGCTTAACTGGGGATAAGTCTCTCAGTTTTGTCTCTGGCTTCAATCTGAGATCCTTCTATCTCAGCCTCCTGAGTAGTAGGGCAGTATAGTCATGAACCCCTGACTCTCTGTCAGTACTAGGGTTTGAACTCAAGGCCTCATACTTGGCAGGTTCTCTACTTGTCACTTGAGATAAAAGCTCAGTTACAGGGCTGGGAAGGTGGCTCAGTGGTAGAGCGCTTGCCTTGCATGCATGAGGCCCTGGGTTCGATTCCTCAGCACCACATAAGCAAAAAGAATAAAAGCCAGAAGTGGCGCTGTGGCTCAAGTGGTAGAGCGCTAGCCTTGAGCTGAAGAGCTGAGGGACAGCGCCCAGGCCCAGAGTTCAGGCCCCATGACCGGACCCAAAAAAAAAAAAAAAAGCTCAGTTACATTCCAGAAAGGGTTTCGAACCTTGCCTGAGGCCAAAATTCACCATGCCTAGTTTATTAAGATGCCCAGGCTGGGGCTGGGAAGGTGGCTCAGTGGTAGAGTGCTTGCTTTGCATGCATGAGGCCCTGGGTTCGATTCCTCAATACCACATAAAGAGAAAAAGTCGGAAGTGGCACTGTGGCTCAAGTGGTAGAGCGCTAGCCTTGAACTGAAGAGCTGAGGGACAGTGTCCAGGCCCAGAGTTCAAGCCCCACAACCAACCAAAAAAAAAAAAAAAAGAGGGCTGGGAAGTTGGCTCAGTGGTAGAGCGCTTGCCTTGCATGCATGAGGCCCTGGGTTCGATTCCTCAGCACCACATAAGCAGGAAAAAAAAAAGCCGGAAGTGGCGCTGTGGCTCCAGTGGTAGAATGTTAGCCTTGAGCTGAAGAGCTGAGGGATAGTGCCCAGGCCCAGAGTTCAGGCCTCATGACTGACAAAAAAAAAAAAAAAATGCCCAGGCTGCCTTTAAATAATCAATCTTCCCAATCTCTGTCTCCCAAGTAACTTAGAGCCACCATGCCTAGCTCTCAATGCCTGTCCCCCAACACCCTCCCCCGCCCCACACACACACACCAGGAGGGAAAACAGGCCTACACCACACATCCCCTCTCTTCCCATTCAATGAGGACTCTAGCAGCCCCCAGTGCCCTGGACAAGACTGTTCCTTACCCGGGCACTGACAAAGATGAAATCCTTGCGCTGGGTACGGTCCTTCTCCTTTTCAAACACAACACCAAGTTTGTTCTGGACACGCTGGGACTTAATGAGCTGACGAACTAGAGAAAGTAGGAGAGATCACATAAGCCTGTGTCTCAAGGCCAAGGGGCTCCCTGCTACCTAATTTGCCCAGGTCTGGCCCTGGCTCACTGCGGTCGTGCGTGAAGGTTGTCCAGTCCTCCTGGGAGTCCCGCTGTCTCCGCAGCAGCACCAGCCGCCCTCCCTCCACATCCACGCTCAGCGTGAACTTCTGGGACTTCCCAATCTTGGTAAGGTCACCCAAGGTCACATCCAGCTTCACCTGCAATTCAGGAGGTCGGGAGACTGCTGACAAGCCTGGGAGGACAGGGAGGAGCAAGCAGCACCCGCTGTACCTCCAGCTGCCCTTTGTTCCACGAGGCCTTATCCACTGTGTACCTCAAAGGCCTGCACAGGTATGGTCTTGGCCTTGCGTGTGGAGGGCTGCAGTGGGGCTGGGGGTCCTGTGGAGCTCATGTCCTGCAGAGCCTTCAGGGCCTGCAGAGGGCAGGCATAGAGTAAGTGAGGAGGACAGGCTGGGGGGGGGGGGGGGGAAGAAGGGGCACTGCTGATGTTACAGTGAGAACTGGGCTTTGGCTTCAGGGTTGAAATCAGGTCAGTGACTAAGGAGGGGCGTTGTGGGAGTCAGTCCACCTTCTTTTGGATGCCTGACAGGAGGTCCTTCAGCACTGACAGCTTCAACACTAGGCTCTCCAGCTCCTGCTCCCCAGTCTGTGGTGGGCTCTGTGGGGAAGAGAGAAAGACTGGTACATGAGGCCCCCCAAGCAACAGCTTCACCCCACCCTTCCACTCCTGCCCGATGATCCCACCTGCTGCTGCAAAAGGCGGGTCACCATGGGTGAGCTCTGCTGATCAAACACCTTGGACAGGATCTCCAGGCCAGACAGGACCTTGTCCACCTCGCTAGGGGAGACACCAGGTCAGACTCCCACCCTGACCTAAGTCCTGGGAACAGGATGTGGGGTGTGGCACTTCCATCTTAAGCACGGAGGCACCAGGGCACAGGAGAGGAAGTCAGAGGCGGTGATTGGCTCACGGATGAGGGGCCAAGCCAGGGAGTCATGTGTGCGCAGCTGCCACTGGTACCTGTGCAGCCTGCGGCATGAGGTGGCTAGGGTGCGGGTGAGGTGGGGCAGGTTGCTGGCTCCGCCCCGCACGGCCTCCAGGTCCAGTCCGTAGCTGCCCTTCAGATACTCATGGGAGACAGTGCTCAGCCCATTGGGAGTGCTTCGGGAGAGAGGTTTGGAGTCAAGAGAGGCCCCTTGTCCCAGAACCCCAACCCATCCCTCTGGGACACAGCACTGGTAGCAGGAGTAAAATGGGTTGAGATGGTTACCTCTGGGACGGAGATGGGAGGGAGGTGGTCCAGCAGGAAGGGCTCAGAAGGCATCTCCACCTCTTGTTGGAAACCACTCCCAGAGGAGAAAGGGACTCAGCAGATGGGGTGGGGGATACTCACCTCTCAGCAGCTGGAGTGGTGGGGGTCTCTGGGGGTGGCAGTGAGCTGCTAGGCCCGATTGAGACAGAAATGCTGGTGGAGCCGGAGCGTGGGGGCAGAGGGGGTTTCTCATCCTCCACATCTGTGGACAGGGTCAAAAAGGCACACACTCAGTGGTATGATGACTGCGGGTACCACAGCTGTCAGACTTCCAGAGAAAAGGGTAAAGGGCAAGGGAAAAGGGGGCTTCAGGAGAGGCCAGGCTGAGAAGAGAGGCTAGGAAGAAGGAGAGTCAGGGGACAGGGCAGTACCTGAGGCATCTCGGTCATCAGGCGGGTCTGGTTCTCTCTCCCCCTCTACAGGTAGTAGCAGGGCACACACAAGGCCCTGGTTGGGTTGGGCATACAGGCCAATGAGCTCACCCAAGGTCTGGAAGCGGCGCACAGGTACACCCTGTGAGGTCTGTGGGCCCGGCAAGGAGGGAACAAAGAGTTAGGCCAGAGGTCCTCAAGCCCGGGGCTGGATTAAGGTCAAGACTCAAGGGTCTGAGCTCCCACCTGCACAGCCAGGAAATCTTCTCCATCAGGCAGAATACGGTATGTGTGCACATGCTTCTGATACCTAATGGTGAGGCAGAGGTCAGAGCCTGTCACCCCAAGCTGGGGACTAAGCCCCAAGGCAGCCATTCTTCTTATTACCATGCTTACTCTCCCACACCCCAGCGTGGTCCCCTTAAAACTACTTGCCAGGCTGCACAGGGTTAATGATAGATCAGTGAACTTCCATCCCTTTAGTGTTCCCAATAAGAGTAGGAATGGGGGGGAGGTGAAAAATGAAGTTATCATGTCGATACATATGCTATAAAACTAGGAAAATTAAAGGAAGGGGTTAAGAGGAATGGGGGAGAATGAACAAAGGGGTGACATGGATCAAGATGCAGTGTACTTATAAACTGACACACTGAATGGTAACCCCTTTATAAAACTACTAGAAGATAATACAAATATAATTTTCAAAAAAGGAGCAAGAATGACCAAATTCCCTCCCTGTGCTCAGACCTACAGAGACTCCACATCCACCACAGGGCCTAGGAAGCAACAGGCAGCTCTTTTGTGGCCTCCACAGCTGTCTAAACAGCCCCTCTGGGGCTGTGGTACCAGTCTGGGCCCCCCGCCAAAGTAAGAGTCCTCAGAAGCCTGGCTAGCCCTTTTGCATGCATAGGCAATGTGCTCGTACACGTGTGAGCTTCTGTCTGTATTTATGTTGGTGTCTAGTTCTGCTGGAGTTGGATGTGTCTGGGAAGTTTGGCCATTAGTCCAGGCCTTTACCTTCCTCCTCAGACACTGGGAAACTAGGATGACACAAGAGGACACTCTATGGGGACCCAGCCTGGAGGGGGAAGAGGGGTGCTGACAGATGGCTTAGCAGCTGAGCAGGTGACAGCTGAGGCAGGCACACACTCAGTGGGGGATGGAAGGCTTCCTCTGTTTACACACCTTAGAGGCCCCTGGGGTCTGTGTTGTATGCTAGGTAGGAGGGCCACCTCCTTTTCTCAAGGTAGTCCCCAACAGGCTCACTCTGGAGCCTGTGCTGGGTATTGGGGCTGGGTGTGTTACTTTGTGGGTTGTGGACCTGTGTTTATAACAATAATAGCAATTCAGGAGCTGAGCCTGGTTCCATGTCAGGCCAGGTACTCAACCATCCTACAGATCTTTCAATTCTCACCCTTTTGAAGCAGATATTATCAACATTATCCCCATTCTCCAGAAAAGGAACTGAGGCTCAAAAAGATAATATGATTTTCATATTTACAGAACAAGTAGAGGCAGAAAGAATTAGGATTTAAGGGCTGAGACTATGGCTTAGTGGTAGAGTGCTTGTCTAGCATGCACGAAGCCCTGGGTTTGATTCCTCAGTACTGCATAAATAGAAAAAGCCAGCAGTGTGCACTGTGGCTCAAGTGGTGAGAGTGTTAGCCTTAAGGGACAGTGTCAAAGCCCTGAGTTCAAGCCCCAGGACTGGCAAAAAATAAATAGGATTTAAAACCAGGGCAGAAGCCAAGGTGTTCATCAGGGCAGGGCGTTCCTTGAATATTATTCATGGACATATGTTGTATATATAGGTAAACAAGTATTTTTTTACCACGTCTGATCCCTCCTGAGATACAGGGAACAGCCACTCGGCTGGCAAAGCCAAATCCTCCACACAAGAGCCAGCCTCTTGGCCCACCCATGCCTTCCCCCCAGCAGTACAGCCAGGATTCACCCCTTACAGGGACAATAATGCTCCTCACCCCAGACATGGGCCCCAGCTGTTCCCCTCCCACTCAACAGCTGACCCTGCACCTGCCTCCTTCCCCTCCTGCATAGGGGGGTACACTTCAGAGGGGGCTGGGAACACAGGGCTCCTAAGGATATTCACGAGTTGGGTTGTCCTGGGCTTCAGGCAAAAGCTAGGCCAGAGTTAGCTCATCCTCTGTACTCCTGATGTTTTGGCAGAATCTTGGGCACTAACAAATGTTTAATAGCATCTCTGGCTTCTACCCACCAGATGCCAATAGCTCCAGTGATGACAGTAATATTTCCCCTGGTCTAGGCCAAAGTACATCTTACTCAAGGATGTCAGAAGAACAGAGCAGGAAGGAAAGGGCAGATGTACAGGGATTTGGGGAGGACATGTGACAGTGCCAAGAAAGAACACAACTAGATGCAAACACAGCACCCCTGAAGCTTCCCATACATGGCTTTCCACTCCAGGGACCCCGAGAGGCCCATTCAGTGTGGGAGCTGGTGAGCAGGTCAGAGAGAGAACACTAGAAAAGCAAAAAAGGACAAACTTGCCCCCACAGCACTACCTGTGACACCACTCAGGTACAGCTGAAGAGACGGAGGCCCACTCAAAGAACTGCTGGACCTAGCCTAGGGGGTCAGAGTCCAAGCCAGAGCCGGGACACACTCACTCACTGATTCCTGAATGGCTCAGTCCCATACAGCCTCACCCAGCTGCCTCCCCAAGCCTTCCTCTTCCACACTAACCTTCACCACCATCCCCAACGTCTCCCCACATTCTTAGGATGCAAAGCCAAACACACTGTAAAAAAGCTTGCTGGGCATTCTCATACACCCTGCCAGTCCCTCTGCCCGCCTGTACCTTACCACTCGGACAAATCCCATTAAACCGAACGGGCCCGCATGAGATGAACCACCTTGCATGCTCACCGGTGCCCCTTCTACCTGGGGGGCCCGGGCGAGTCTGCCTCTACTGCCTGCACTTTCTCCTCCATACCAACCACTCTGGGCCCCCCCAACTCTGCTCGCAAGGCCCCAGAAGATACCCCCAGACACACAGCAGGAAGTGGCCCCAGATCCTGGCTCAGCCCCAGGATAAAGTCAAAACCTCGGACAGACCCAGGGGTGGAGGCGGGGCTACGGTCCCGCCGGCCCCAGTCACCACCACCGCCCCCCACCGCCCACAACTCGGGGCGCTCCGGGCGCGTCCCCACCTCCCGTTCCCGCGCCACTCACAAGACGCAGAGTGCGAAGGCCCCCGCCACGCTCTCGCTGTCTCGGACCAGGAAGCTGCCATCGCGGCCGGCCCGCGCCAGCAACTCCTCCGCAGCGGCGCGGCTCAGGTCGCGGTGGTACCAGGCAGGGGCCGGGCTGCCCAGCGCGCCCCCCGGCCCCGCGCCCCCAGGTCCCGGCGCCCCGCACGCCGAGGCCATGGCCCGTGGCAGGGCTCAGCGCCGTCCGTGTCTGCAGTTCCGCGCCATTCACCCCGAGAAGCTGGGTGCCGAGGCTGGGTGCCGAAGCCTGAGGATCCCGGACGGAGCCGGGAATCCGGGCTCCGCGCCCCGCCGTGCAGTCCGCCTCGCTCACCGCGCAGCCGCCGCCGCCGCCGCCGCCGCCGCCAGCGCCGCCGGCCTCAACTTGAAGAGAAAGAAAAGTTTGTTCAGAGGTGGCGGGGGAGGGGCGGGAGCGCAGCGCCCCGACTGCGGGCCGCCCCCTCCCCCTCCGCGCGGCCCACGGCCCGGGCCGCCCCCGCCCCCAGCCTCTTCCCGCAGGACCCCGGCCTCCCAGACACCCCAAGGATCCTGTGCCCCACCTCGCAGAGGCAGACCCCAGAGCCCCCACTGAAGCCAAGCCCCTCCCTTCCCCACGCCAATCCGGTATCCCGACACTTGGGGAGTCCCGGCACCCCCCTCCCTGGAGAACACAGCCGTCCGTAAGGTGACCCCTAAATCGCCCCCAAAGTCAGGAGCCCCTAATTTCTTTTTTTCCTACCCGGGGCATTCTACAGCCTGGCAGAATCAGGGCTCTCCAAGAAAGGCTCCAAGAAGAGCCTTCCCCATCATCTCCCCTGCGATACAAGGGAGCAAAGATCCCCCTTCCCCCCCCCCTACACCCCAAATCCCGAGAAAACCCATCACCTCCCCCGCCTAGATCCGAACTCTCAAACTCCACAGCGTCGGTCCCCGGACACATCCCCTGGGGAATCGCTCCCAGGGGGGGTCCGATCACACTCGCACACTCACACACACTCACACTCAAGAGTGTCCTCGAGCCCCCCCCAAGCCCCGTCTCCACCGGCCAACCAGCCCGGCCGAGCCCTTCCCTTCCCCTCCCCCCCACCCGCCCCCGCCAAGTTCCCTGGCACCACTCCCCAACACCCGCAGGCCAGGGCCTTGAGGGGGGACCCTCGAAGTGGACCCCTCCGGACCCTCTAGAAGAAACTTCCTGCAAGCTCTCAAGTCGCAATCTCACCCCGCAGCTCCCGCCGCCACCGTGCGGATCCGCACCTCCGGGGTTACTGGGGTACCTCCTTGGCCGGGAAAGCGGCCCTGGACTCCCGGCGGCCACTTAAGATGGCCATCCGCCGCCGCCGCCGCCGCCGCGCACCCCCGGCGCGCCTTCCGCCCCGCCCGCCGCCCCGCCCCCGGCCCCACCGCCGTCCCCCGAGCCCCGGGCAGCTCCACACCCCGCCTCCCCCGCCCGCGTCCGGTCCCGTCGTGGCTCACCCGCCGGGTGACCTCGGACCAGCGCCGGCACCTCCCCGCGCCTCGGCTTCCCGCTCCGTACAATGGGGCGACCCTATGGGACTCCGCTTGTGCCGCCCTCGGCGCCGGGCCCGGACACGGGGGCCCCCGCGCGCGCGCGCTCCGGGACTGCGGCTATTTTTACGATTAATTAAGGAGTAAGGAAGGTGACAGCTGTGTAAACTGTAAAGCGCGACCGCGGAGCGAACGGGTATTATTAGCACCGCCCCCGTCCCCGCTACTCCCTCCAAGTCAACCAACTCGCGCCTCCGAGGGCCGGACGCCGGCCGGGGAGCCCCCGCCCGCCACGCAGGGGGCGGCACCCGCCCGGGGGCCTGGCCCGCCCCTTCCCAAAAAAAGCGCTCGCGGGTGGCTGAGTCTCCCGGGAGTCCTCTTCCTGCCCCGCCTCTCCTCCCCTGAGCTCCTTAAAGGCGCAGGCCTCCAGCGGGCGCCCCCGGCCGCCAACTCTTGGGCTGTTTGCCTGAGCATCCCTTTAAGCCGGGAGAGAACTTTCACTTTGCTAAACTGAACCTGTTGACCGAATCTAGATTAGTCGTCGGGAGCTTCCTCCATTTCTAACCCGCGCTGGTTTCACCCAGCTGGAACGAGTCCTGAATCCTGGAGAGGAGCTCTGTGGGACCTCACACACTAGATAAACACAGTAACTTGAGAGAGCTGCCGCCCGCCCTCCTTTGTCTCCTGATCCTGCCAGGAGCCCAGTAACTTATTCTTCAACCTGTGTCCAACTTCCCCATTAGTCACCTTTTGGTATTGGGAAGGGGAGCCTGCTGGGGGTGGGGATGGAGGCACGCAGGTGTGTGAATGAGATCCAGACTAGGAGTCTGCACGCTTGGGTTCTAGTCCCAGCTGAACCGCCTTTGGGCTGATATCAGACAGCTACCTATGTGTCTCTGGGGAGAATCCTGGTAGAGAAGTGGAGACAAAGACTTTTCTGAGGGCATAAGAGAAGGCAAGAAACCCAGAGATCAAGTCTTGTCTAGCTCTGAGGCTATGCAACTGCTGAGCAGTCTTCCAAAATCAGTCTTGCTCCTGCCTCTGGGAAGCCAGCCCCTAAGGGTTTCTAGAGCACAGAACTTGGCCCGGTCTTGAGTATTTCCTCTGCAGGAATCCCCCAGATTGTCTTCCCAATTGGCTCTGTTTCTCCTCTGAGAGTCCCAGGTCCTAACTCTTAACACTTAAATCTTCATGTTAGGTAGGGTGATTCCCCCTTCCCAACCCCCCACCCCACCCGGGGCATACAGAGCTTTCCCTGGACTCCCATCCCCAGCTTTCCCATTGCAGAACACCAAACCAGAGAGAGGAGAGCTGGGGCAGGGAAGATGTTTGGGAACTAGTATGAATATAAAGTCCTAGTCAGGTCAGGTTCTAATGGCTGGTGCCTGTATCCTAGTTATTCAGGAGGCTGAGATCTAAGGACAGTGGTTGGAAGTCAGCCAAAATCAGACAAATTGTTTTTTGTTTTTGTCGGGCTTGAACTCTGGGCCTGGGCACTGTCCCTCAGCTCTTCACCTCAAGGCTCTACTACTTGAGCCACAGTGCCACTTCCAGGTTTTTCTGTTTATGTGGTGCTAGTAATCAAACCTAGGGCCTCATGCATGTGAGGTAAGCAAATCTACCACTGAGCCACCTTCCCAGCCCCTGGGCAGACAAATTCTTGAAACTCTTACTACCAGCGAACCAGAAAAAGCCAGAAGTGGAGGGGTAGCTCAAAAGGTAGAGCCACAATCTTGAACAAAAAAGTCAAGAATGTGAGGCCCTAGCTGGGCACCAGTGGCTTACACCTGTAATCTTAGCTACTCAGGAATCTGAGATCTGGATCATGGTTCACAGCCAGCCCAGGCAGTAAAGTCCATGAGATTCATCTCCAATTAACCACCAGAAAATGGGAAGTGGCACTGTGACTCAAGTGGTAGAGCACTAGCCTTGAGCTGAAGAGCTCAGCCACAGTGCCCAGGCCCAGAGTTCAAGCCCTACAACCCGATGAAAAAGAAAAAGAAAAAAGTGTAAAGAGTGTGAGACCCTGAGTTCAAGCGCTATTACCTGACCCAAAACAAAACAAAACTCTTGGGCCTGGCTCTCCTTGGGGCTATTAATGTACAAATTCACATTCTTTCTAGGAAAAAGCTCGTTTTATTTCATTACCTGGAGGAAAGGATTGAGATCACAATTTTATTGAGGAAACAAAGTTACAACTGTTGCACTTTTACATAGAAAGTGAAAGAGTTGGACTGGGAAGTTGACTCAATGGTAGAGTGCTTCCCTCACATGCATGAGGCCCTGGGTTCGATTCCTCAGCACCACATTAAGCAGAAAAAGCTGGAAGTGGTGCTGTGGCTCCAGTAACAAGAAAGAAAGAAAGAAAGAGAGGAGGGAGGGAGGGAAGGGAAGGAAGGAAAGAAAGAAAGTGAAAGAGCCGAGATTTTTTTTTTTGGTCAGTGGTAGGGCTTGTTCTCTGGGCCTGGATGCTGTTTTCTGAGTGATTTATTGGAGCTGAGAGTCTCATGGAGTTTCCTGTCTGGGCTGGTTTTGAACCTTGATCCTCAGATCTCAGCCTCCTGAGTAGCTAGGATTACAGGCTAAGAGTCAGAATTTAAACACAGGTGTGATTGCTCTAATCTAAAGAAATCCACACACTAGGAGATCCATCCCTCACCCAGCCACAAACTCACAAGGAAAATAATTCTTCAGCTAGTGATGTGTACAAATTTATTAGCACTGCCCCCAAACCTCACCATGGAGCAAGAACTGGGTGATAAAGGGCTGAGTAATAGATTACAGGTAGATTTGGGGTTCCCTCAATTGTAAGAACTCAGATGAGCCTTTAGCCTGCTAGGTAGCAGAGAAGAGATCTAGGGAGGACTGCATTCAGACAAGGAGTAAAAGTGGCAGTATCAGGGCCAGGCTGGGTATGAAGAGCCCTCTCCCAGGGTATATGGCTCCAGAAGTCATGGCTTGAGCATAAAACCTGGCCACCTCCTCGTTGGGGTTGCCCTGGTCTGGATCAAACCACATCTGGATGCAGCGGCCACTCCCTTGGCTGTAGTTGCTCACTTTGTAGGAGTGACTCCAGAGACCCTCACAAAAGGAAGCTGGTGTGGGGAAGTAGAACTCAAATGTGCGGCAAACAGCCTTGGCTGGACACTTATTAACTCCTGCAAGCAGAAACATAGTGGACACAAATATTAAGCCCTGGACTCATTTCTAGCCATCCCAGAAATCTTCACTCCCACCTCAAAACCTCAAACTCTCTTTTCCATCTTCCACCCCCTTCGACTCTTACCAGAGCTCCAGTCCCAGCCCTTGTGCCAGTTGGTCTTGCAGGTGGAGGAGGTGCGGCAGTCTTCCCACCAGCGCTGACAGTCCTCTTTGCATAATGGCACATCCAGGAACCGCTCTTTGCGCCAGTTTTGGTTAACCTGGATGGAGTAGGGATATTAGCAGCTGTGAAGGTACTGAGCCAGGAAGCAACATAATGGGAATGAGATAAGCAGACAATGGTACCTCCTGGATCCAGGGCCCCAGATTGGGTGAGCACTCATACAGACATGAATCTTGGATAAAGTGACGCTTGCAGGCAGGCTCCATCTTGCCACAGTGATCCCAATTGAAGTTGTACAAGAGAGAGGTGTCCTTGTGCAGCTCCTGAGTGGTGTTGAAGGAGCAGCAGGAATTCCTTCTCCAGGGACTGCACTAGGTGGAGAAGCCAGGACTGAATCCTCCAATAATTCTCCCACCTCCTGCCATCTGCAGCCTGACCAAACAGGCTGTCCTGGGAAAACTCACCAGAAGAGCACCATGGTCCTTGACCTCACAGATCTCCCCCCATTTTGGGGGGGGGGAATACAATTACTAGTGTGATGAGGGGACTTTGAGAGCCCAGGTGAGTCTTATCTTGGGGCTAACAGTTATCATTTTATAGAGCACACTTTATTTTTTATTTTATTCTGCCAGTCCTAGGGCTTGAACTCAGGGCCTGGGCTCCATCCCTGAGCCTCTCTGTGCTTAAAGCTAGCACTCTACTACTTAAACCACAGCACCAAGTCTTGTGGGGCTTGAAGTCAGGGCCAGGACTCGGTCCCTGAGTTCTTTTTGCTCAAGGTTAGTGCTCTACTACTTTGAGCAACAGTGTACTTTCAGTTTTCTGGTAGTTAATTGGAAATGAGTCTCTCAGACTTTGCTGCACAAGCTGGCTTCAAATCACGATTCTCATACCTCAGCTTCCTAGGATTATAGGCACAAGCCATCAGCATCCAGCTTATAAAAAGTAAAGAGCTAGGCATTGGTGGCTCATGCTACTCAGGAGGCTGAGACTGAAAGGATCGGGGTTCCAGGCCAGCAAGAGCAGAAAGTTTGTGAGACCCCCAATTCAACCAATAGGTAGCTGGAATTGGGCCAGTCACTCATGCCTATAATCCTAGGGATACAGGAAGCTAAGGTCTGAGGATTGTGGTTTGCAGTCAACCCAGGCAAAAAGTCCATAAGACTCTTTATCTCCAATTAAATGCCAAAACACCAGTAGAGCTGTGGCTCAACTGGTAGAATACTAAACTTCATAAGACAGACAGACAGAAAGGAAGGAAGGAAGGAAGGAAGGAAAGAAAGAAAGAAAAAAAAAGAAATCGAGCTAAGGGACAGCACCCAGGCCTTGAGATCAAGTCTCAGTATTGGCACACAAATATTTAAAGAAAAGAAGAAGAAACTGGACATGTTGATACATATCTGTCAAATTAGCGATGTGAAAGACATAAAATGGAAGGATCCAACCCATAACTGCCATGTAAAAGGACACAATGAGTCTAATAGAGTGGGGGTCTACTGGCATGAATGTTTCTAGGCCCATGCCCCAGGTCACTGTCACAAGAGGCTTTGACCCTCTTTATCTTTGACATTCCAGAGCTGGCAGGCAGTAAGCATAGAAAGAGCTACCTCTGCAGTGTCTCTCACACTTCAATCTATGGAGGAACCCCCCACAATCCCACCCTTGACCCCCGACCAGGGCTGGGTCTATCCAACTCCTATATGGTCCACGTGTTTCTGTGACTAGTGTAATGTGCAGGCCATCATCTACTAGATTATAAAGAACCATCTGGAATGAGTTCCTGCCATGCACAAGAAGCATGCACCATCCCACAGGAGCTCAAAAGACTGACTGCCTCCTCCCCAGCATTGCCCACCACCTGATCTCCTCCCTGGGGAGGACACCCCTAATATCACTCTCCCTACCACCTTCATCTTCTCCCCCACACCTTGTGGGGGTGGAGGGTCTGGCCCCTCAACTCCTCCCCCACCACCTTGGCTTCCTCCTCCCAGTCAACATGGGCCCCTCCCTGAACTGCAGCCTCACCTGCTCGTGCAGTTTGTCCTCAGGGCCTGGCTTTGTCTTGTGGTGCTTGGCATCCAAGCAGGCATTGAGCAGGTCTGTCCTGTCCCTGGCACTGCAGGTGATGGCTCCCCAGGCCAGAAGCAGAAGCAGCATCCATTTCCACATCATGCCTTTCTAGCCCCGCAGAGGGAGCTGTGGTTAGGAAGACAAGGCCTGTAAGGAAAGATCCATCCAGGGGACACCCTTCACCCCGCCTGCCTCAGTCTCCTCATCCCTGCAGTAAAAGATGAAGCCAGACCCTATTCCTTCAATGCTGGAATCCTTAGGCTTGCTGAGGCTAGATTAGAGAAGATTGGCAAGGGGGAGGGGGGATCCTCCTGTCTCCCACCAAGAGAGCTGGAGTTAGTGGGCGAGTCCTATGGCAGTCTTCCCAAGTTAGATACTCTGTCTGTGCCCTCCCCATCCTTCTAGCCTTGATATATGCAAGTAACTAAACAGGGTAAGCCCGTGCCTGGCTCCTTGGAAAAGGGCCAGGGACACACAGTGCCCTCATCCCACCTCAGCCAATGCTCTGCAGACTCTGGACTGCTTCCCACGCCAGCCTGGAAGCCCTTTTAGCCGGGGGGAGACGATGATCCAGCTCTGCTGAGTCCTCCAGATTGCAGAAGGATCAAGTGACATGACCCACATGACAGTGTTTGGTTAAATGATACAGAAATGGAAAGCGTGGTGGTATTTAAACAGCTTGGCTTCCTTTTTGTCTTTCATTCCCTAATCTCTGAAAGCCGCTCTCCCTGCACCATCCCCCCCCCCATCACTTCTCAGAGCTAATGCACCAAAAATAAATGCCAAGGGGCTATGAAGGTGGTTCAGTGGTAGAGCGCTTGCCTTGTATGCATGAAGCCCTGGGTTCGATTCCTCAGCACCACATAAGCAGAAAAAGCCAGAAGTGGTACTGTAGCTCAAGTGGTAGAGTGCTATCTTTGAGCTGAAGGACAGCGCCCAGGCCCAGAGTTCAGGCTCCCCAGAAACCTTAGTGGTCCAACCCAAAAGTCCCCAGATACACACACAGAGTCAGGCGCCTGATGAAAGTGAAAGTCCCCTTCTCTGTTCATTCCTGCCCTCACTTCAGAGATTTATGTTCCTTTGGGCTCTGCTACTGGAGCACCTAAGAGGTAATCAAGACGCCCTCCTCCTCTCCCCTACCATCTCCACATGCATTGACCACCGGGCCCTGCCAAAAGCCTCTTAAAAATCCCCTGGAACTCACTTCCAGAGTTTTGTGTTTAGGGCCAGATTTTCCCTCCAACAGTGCGCTTCCCCACAGGAGCCAGAATAAGCCATCTCCCTTCCATCCCTCCCCTCTCCCTCCTTCCCTTCTTCCCTACTTCCTTCCCTCCCGCCTTCTTTCCCTTCCTTCTTCCTTCTTTTTCTCCCTCCCTCCTTCTTTCTTTTCCTTCCTTCTTTCCTTCCCTTTTTATTTTTGTGAAATTGCTCATGGACTCCAGGGCCTCTCAAATGTTAGGAAAATTCTCCACCACCAAGCTACATCTCCAGTCCCATAACGATCTAAGAAAATACATGTTCCTCTTCCTTTGCACAAATCTGCCAGCCACCCTTGTTACTCTTCTCACCTTACCTCAACTTCCTTTGCTGCTTGGAATACACACAGGTGTGTTGGTGTTGGCCTCTCCCTAGACTTGGCAACAGATTCAGAGCCTGGGCTGTCCCCAGTGATCTCTGCCCACAGCACAGACAGGGTAGAAGAGCTCTGGTAAGCACAGAATAAAATGTCCCACTCAGCTCTTCTGTAATTCCTTCTCTGCCAGACCCCGCCCTTTTTCAGATTTCAAAACTTAGACAATTTAGTCATTCTCATTTCCATTCATCTCTCCACTTGTATCTTCATCCATTCTAGGATGGGTGCATTCAACATTCACCAGTATCTGGATAAATGCACATTTCCAAGGGGAGAGTGTGAAGATTTTTAGGTACTTCAAGTGATAGGATAAGGCTACTTTGATGGAGAACCCAAGCAGTAATCTCAGGTCAGTGAGACCCCCAGAGAAATCCATCCACTACACTAGGAAAAGCCAGTAGAAGTCACTAGACTTTGGCCCATCAGAACATTTTCTTTTCTTTTTTTTTTGGGAGGGGGGTGAGGAGGGTTGGACACAGGGCTTCATACATTCTAGGCGAGTACTCTATCACTTGAACTATTCCCACAACATTTTGGAGAATAATATACAGAAAACAAACAAAAAAAACCCCAGAAACTTACTACGTAGACTTAATCAATGACTGTTAGATAATTTCTGAGCAGCCCCAAAGACACAGGTGGAAGACAGAAAACACAAAGAAGAGCCAGGTGCCTTTGACTCATACCAATAATCATAGCTACTCACAAGGCTAACATATGAACGTCAAAAGTTCAAAGCCACCCCAGACAGAAAACTCTTCAAGTTTCTAATGCCAACTTAATCAGCAAAATGCTGGAATGGAGGAATAGTTCAAGTGGTAGAGTATTGTCTGAGAGTGAAATAGCCAAGCCAAACTCAGAGTTCTAGTCCCTGAGTTCTAAGTCCTGGTACCAGCCCCTAGAAAACAAAAATAACAACAACAACAACAAATTTCAAAGGATTTACTTGGGCACAGAGAAAAATAAAAATTGCTCCAATTTGGGCTGGGAAGGTGGCTCAGAGCGCTTGCCTTGCATGCCTGAGGCCCTGGGTTCGATTCCTCAGCACCACATGAGCAAAAAGAAAAAAGCCAGAAGTGGCGCTGTGGCTCAAGTGGTAGAGCGCTAGCCTTGAGCTGAAGAGCTGAGGGACAGCGCCCAGGCCCAGAGTTCAGGCCCCATGGCCAGAACCAAAAAAAAAAAAAAAAATTGCTCCAATTTGATAACTGACAGTATCTCACTATGTAATACTTCCTAAAACACAACTAAAGAATTTTTTATAGCCTTTAAAGTTTTTGCAGTAAAAAAACAGTCTGGTAGCTCACACCTGTAATCCTAGCTACTCAGGAGGCTGAGATCTGAGAACTGAATTTCAAAGCCATCCTGGGCAGAAAAGTCCTCTATATTCTGCTTCCAATTAGCCAGCAAAAAGCCAGAGGTGAAGGCATAACTAAGTGGCAGTGTGTCAGCCTTGAATGAAAAAATCGAAGTAAGCCAAGCTCCAGTGGCTCATACCTGTAACCCTAGCTATTGAGGAAGCTAAGATATCAGGATTGTGATTCAAAGCGAGCCCTAGAAAGTCTGTGAGACTCTTACATCCAATTAGTCACTGAGAAAGTTGGAAATGGAGCTGTGGCTCAAGTGGTAGAGCTCTAGCTTTGAGCACAAAAGTTCAGGGACAGTTCCCAGGCCCTGAGTTCAAGCTCCAGGAGTTGTATCAAAAAAAAAAAAAAAAAAAAAAGCCAAGGGAAAATGTGAGGCTGAGTCCAAGCCCCAGAATCAGCATTAAAACATTATTTTGTAGTAAAATTACACAGTACATACCAGGTGCCTGTGGCTCACCCCCGTAATACTAGCTATTCAGGAGGCTGAGATCCAAAGATCATGGTTCAAAGCCAGCCCAGCAGGAAAGTCAATGAGACTCATCTCCAATTAACCACCAGAAAATGGGAAGTGGCACTGAGGCTCAAGTGGTAGAACTTTTGCCTTGAGCTAAAGAGCTCAGGAACAGCGCCCTGGCCCAGAGTTCAAGCCCCACGACTGACCAAAAAAAAAAAACACAACTGTTTTTTCAGGTCATGGGGCCTGAACTCTGGGCCTGGGCACTGTCCCTCAGCTCTTCAGCTCAAGACTAGCACTCTACCACTTGAGCCACAGCACCACTTCCGGCTTTTTTCTTTTTGCTTATGTGGTGCTGAGGAATCGAACCTGGGGCCTCATGTATGCAAGGCAAGCGCTCGACCACTGAGCCACCTTCCCAGCCCTGACCAAAAAAAAATTTAAATTAATTAATTAACCATCTTAACTGTTTTTATAGTGTTAAATAGGTTTCTACTGCTTTTATTTATTCTCATCCCATAAAACTGATTTAATATCCATTAATGATTATAATTTCCCTCAATCTCTGCTGCTCACGGTCTATTTTCTTTTATTTATTTATTTTTTTACCAGTCCTGGGGTTCAAACTCAGGGCCTGGGCACTGTCCTTGTATTTCTTTTTTGCTCAAGGCTAGCACTCTACCTCTTGAGCCACAACGCCACTTCCAGCTTTTTGTGTTTATGTGTTACTAAGGAATTGAACCCAGGACTTCATGCATGCTAGGCAAGCACTCTACCACTAAGCCACATTCTTAGTCCCTCATGTCCTATTTTCTATACTGCTCTAGATACCTTGCTTAAATGAAATCCTATAGCAATTATCTTTTGTGACTGGCTTACTTCATGTGGCATGAAACTTATCCATGCCATAAAATGTATAACCCTGAGTTCTTTGTCTTCCCTATTTCTACCTTTTCCTCCACATACCAAAAGTCTCCAAACTCTATGGATTTTATTCACCAACAACATATCCAGCATTGCTCACTGCTAAGGACACATTCTGAGAAATGCATCATTAGGAGATTCTGCAATTGCAAACACAACCCAGATGGTCAAGGCCAACCATGCAGTGTGGCCCTGGATGCAGCAACAGCAAACTCAAGAAGCCAACTGCAGGTATAGCTCCTCTTTCTGTTTTACAGTAAATATTTATTTTTTATTGGTTTATTTACTTATGCCAGTATTGTGGCTTGAACTCAAAGTCTTGGGCTCTTGTTCAACTCTTCTAGTTTAGACTGGTCATTTACCAATTGAGCCAAACTTCCATTTCAGGTTTTTTTGGTGGTTAATTTGAGATTATAGCCTCCTGGACTTTCCTGCCCAGGCTGGATTCAATCTGTGCTCCTCAGATCTCAGCCTCTTGAGTAGCTAAGGATTACAGGTATGAGCCACCAGAGTCCTGGTAAATAATGTTAAATATAAATTATTTTTTGAAAATTTTTATATTAATTTCATGGTGCACCAGGGTTCCAATTTCTTCACATTCTTATCAAAACTCATTTTCTGTTTTGTTATTTGAGAGGTTTGTTTTGCTTGTTATTTGTTATTTATTTGTTAGTGTGTGTGTGTGTGTGTGTGTGTGTGTGTGTGTGTGTGTGTGCCTGTGCGTGTATTTTTTTTTTTTTTTTTGGTCGGCACTGTTCCTCAGCTCTTCAGCTCAAAACTAGAGCTCTACCACTTGAGCCACAGTGTCACTTCTGGCTGTTTCTGCTTCTGTGGTGCTGAGGAATTGAGCCTAGGGCCTCATGCATGCAAGACAAGCACTCTACCACTGAGCCACCTTCCCAGCCCTCCCTTTTTTTTTTTTTTTTTGCTAGTCCTGGGGCTTGAACTCAGGGCCTGAGCACTGTCCCTGAGCTGCTGCTGCTTCTTTTTGTTGGTCATAGGGCTTGAACTCTGGGCCTCAGCACTGTCCCTCAGCTCTTCAGCTCAAGGCTAGCACTCTACCACTTGAGCCACAGTGCCACTTCCCCCTGAGCTTCTTTTGCTCAAGGTTAGTGCTCTACCATGGCACCACTTCCAGCTTTTTCTATGTGTTCCCAGCTTCTCCCATTCTCTTTATAATAGCTGATTTTAAGACTGTGTAATGGCCAGATGAGGTAGCACAAGTCTATAATACCACCATTCAGGAGTCTAGGTAGAAGTATCATGAGTTCAAGTCTAGCCTGAACAACAAAAAGTTTTTAAAATTATTCTTTGCCTAAGTAAGTACATTTGTGCTTCCTCAGATAGTATCTAGTAACTGTATGTGTGTGTGTCTGTCTGTCTGTGTCTGTGTGTCTATTTTGCCAGTACTGGGACTTAAACTCAGGGCCTAGGGACAGTCCCTTAGCTTTGTCACTCAAGACTAGTACTGTATTACTTGAGCTATAGCTCCACTTTTACCAGAGCTGGGTTGAACTGTTATCCTCAGATCTCAACTTCCTTAGTAGCTAGGATTACAGGCATAAACTACCATCATTTGGCTATTAACTGCTTCTCTGCCACATTTCTTTGTATGTCTCATATCTTTCTTATTAAAACTGGATATCTAAACCAATATGCTATTGCCAGGAGTTCTGGGATAGGCCTATAATCCCAGCATTCCTCAGGAGTCAGAGGCAGGAATCAAACTGGAAGATAACCTGAGCAAGATGAGTCCCTCCCAGCCTGGGGTACAGGTCTTGTCTCAAAAAATATACAAAGCAACTCCATGGATCAGATTTCTGCCCCCTCCCCCCAAAAAATCAGGGTTTGTTGTTGCTGTACCTATTTACTGATTTTCATAGATTAATTCTGTAAAGTTAGCTTAATCAACTAGTGACTAGATTGCCATTTTTTGTAGATGCTATAAACCAACAGGTCTCTTGCTGTTATTCCAGGGGGCTATGTACATAGTTGGCCTTGTCTTCAATGCTCAGCCAGTTTACTCTCCCTTCACTTATTTCCTGACTTCACAGGGCCTCAAACTCCCCAAAACAGAGGGATTGGGACCTTCTCAGATCTTCTCTGAACCGATACACATCCCTGCGCATGTGTGTGGACTTCTGTATTTCCACGAAGATGGCAGAGCTTCCCAAAGGCCTCTTACACATTCCTTTTCTTTCTTGATATTCCTTTTAAGTTTTTTTTGGTCAGTCTCTTGTCTACTTTAACTGACATTCTTTCTTCTGGCAGCTGAAATGTCAATTTGCTGTTGATAGTTTAGGCAAACACTAGAGAAATTTTCACTAACTGCGCT